AAATTCCGCGAAACTGCATCACATTTACACTATCTATGAGTCGTGAGTTTTTTTACCGTGCAAAACTTTTTAATTGCGAGGCTCACTCGAATGGTCGAGGCGAGAGGAGGCCATCCAATTTGAGCGAATGGGTTTTTCTCGAAAGCTCCCCCCCCCCCCCCCCCCCCCCCCCCCGGTGTCGACCCTTTTGCCGCGATTCTTTTGTAACGTAAAAATTGAATCCACGTAGCTACAGTACATTCACAGACGTGAACATGTGTTCGTGCATGTCGTGCACACATGACAAAATTCGGCGGAGGAGACCAACTGCCCTTTCCCCTTTTCCCTTTCTTTATCCGCTTTTTCTCTTTTTCATTTACATTTCGATTTACTCTCTTTCTTTTTAAAATAACTGCAGATGCCCTTGTCATTTTTGCAAGTAATAAGTGCACAATCAAATTTAAAAAATTTTAACAGTTTTTACAAATGTAAAATTTTCCAAGCATTTTTCTTTTTAAATATCAATTTCACGTAAAATAATAATAATTATTTATGTGTGCTGATATAAATGTAAATAACACAAATATATATTACATAAATTATATACTACATATATACATAAAATATATTATATAAAACACATATTAATAAAAATTATATATAAATATATATTATGTAAAAAATATTTCACATTATTTACAAGTGACAAATATTTTTTTGTAAACCTAGACCATGGAAAATAAATAATTCAAAAAAATATAGCTGTCAGGTTTCAGAATAAATGTTTCGTTAATGTGATTTTTTAAAATATTTTTTTATAGAAAAAAGGCTGCGCGTAGCTTAATTGTAAGATACATAAAAACTATACGTATATATATTGTACATATATATAAATATGGTCTTCGATCAGTCGGATGAACATACACACATCCGGTGAATTTGTACGTTTCCGTTCCACCGGAATCTTGCGGTTGTCCGTTCGAATAAGACATAAAGGAAGAGGAACAGGAAGAGGAGGAGGCTCAAGAGTCGACCGAAGTAGAATGACGAAAGAAAAAAAAAAATGAAAATAAAAAATGAAAGACGAACGTTGTCCCACGGTAGCTCGTCGTCGGCTAGACCAAACAAACAATCTTTATCTTCTTTATGGTTGCCCGCTTATCTCCGTCCGGCGACTAACTCTCAGCAGGTTCTGTGCCTCTTTCTCGCCTTCCTACGCAAAGAAATCCTTTGTGTTCCGGCATACGTTCTCACGATGGAGGAAAAGAGAGAAAGAGAAAGCGAGACGAAATGCAGAAAATTTGAATAAATCTCGCGCGGCGTCGTGAATATCATTTCGCTAGACTTTGCGGAGTGTTCCGCATCTTTAAGCGGGCACTGAAAACGGTTCTCTAAGTACCGTTCCGGTAAAGTTTTGAGAAAGCCATGCCGGTGCACCCCGCGCAACGAATCCTGGGCAATTTTCGTTATAATCGCCAGAAACCTTTGGTGTTCTTTATGAAAGAGAAAAAAAGGAAGCAAAAAATTTTACATCATTGAGTCGATACCGAAGATAAATGATTGCGTTGATATGAAAAAACGGATGGCTTCTTTTGTAAATAACTGTCTTAAATTTGTAAAAATAAATCAGAGAATTGAGATAAATGTATTCAAAGAAATATTTTACAAAATTCTTACATCCTCTATCTTTTTCCTAAGAATAATTCATCCCAATCAATGTTTCTTACGATTCTTCTTACTTTTTTTTTGTTTACATGTCAAAGATATTATATAATATAATAGTAACTAAAATCACGGAGGTTCTTTTATTATTTTTAGACTCTTATAAGCCTTGCATATCATATTATTGTATTTTGAGTATTAAGAGTCATGTAACTTTTTATCTATTTTTATATATATAAAATTTATCGTGGCTTTTGATTAAGATACATTGAGAATTGTGAAATTTATATAAATCGACACATGTCGAGAAATCGTCGCGACATTTCCTGACAAACTGAGATCGAGTACCGACGACATACAAATAACGATAAATTGTTCAATTCACTAATACTGCTTTCTCGTAAGATAAGAGAAGAAAAATCAATTTGCGAAAACTCTGACGGATATACCTACTCTACCAGATATAAAAGAAAATATCAATATTCTCTCTACATTTGTCAAAGAATTTTTACAATAAACTAAAAATTGAATAAAAATTGTCAAGACACATTTTTAATCGTATATTATACGCAAAAAAGAATAAGTGATATTTATGAAACATATTATATAATACAATAAAGATTCTAATAAACGTGAGTAAGTAAAGTTAGAGGATGTCTCCGTACGATTGTTCGTACATCTTTATTAATTAATATCTCATTAATTATTTCAAAGTTCGAAAAATATAAAGGACTTTACTATTCAGTTTAATCTCTGTTATAACTGCTCACGAGAGGTGATCCAATTGTTACACGAATTTAGTCTTAAATAAATTACTAAAATCATTAAAACCTCTGAGATCGTTAAAAATCATTAATATATTTAAAATGAAAATGTGAATTTCGATCTACAACGATAATATGGATTAAAAATAACGGTATTTAGCAAGTACACGAACACAATCAGAAACATTCTAGTCTTTTATGGTGTTGTGTAGAATTAATTTTATTCTGTGCTCGTTCGTTCAAAAAAAAGAAACTAAAGTATGTTTAAATATACATACTTTATGTATGTATGTGTATTATATACTTGGCTTTGTTAAATTAATTTCACCGTAGTAATATATATATATTATATATACACATATATAATTAATCATATCTTCATCTTGTGAAAGTAATTTAACAAAATCAAATAATAAGCGTGTCCACCTAATTCAATATTGAGTCCATTTCGCTCTCTTTCGAGGGATGACTTCGCAATATGGCTATAGGGAGAAACGTTCCTCGTGATCGCTTATTGAGACGAGCATGAATCGTGAAATTCGTCCGAAGTCGCGTGTATCCGTGCGGAATCAATTCATTCGCCAGGGTTTCCGCCGGAAGAATGCACAGAGCGATTTAGGTTTCCTTTCATACGCGGATTTTTTAACCAATTTGGACTAACTTTCTTCCAACCAAAATTGGTCGAGATATATCAATCTCTGTGTTGTAAAGAATTTAGGAATTTTCAAGAATAAAGTTTCAAGCACACAAAGTTTCATGCATATTTCAGCATTATTATCCGATCAAATTTTCAAAAAGGCTCAGTTTCAAATTTGGAAAATTCATACGCGACAGCACTCCGAATACACGGATTGTCAGGAAAAGCGGTCAGCAAAACCGAGAGCTCATCGGCGTTGTATAAGTTTCGGTTAACCGCTGACGAACGATCGGCAGCGATCGATCGTGAGGAGATGGCCTCGGTGGTTGTGGACAGAAACGACACGATGAACGCGAAAGAGGTGCATTTTCGTTGCGTTTCTGCCTGTGACGGGCGGAGGAAAAAGTCATGGAATGTGATTGCTGTTGGTTGCGCGCAATAAAATTGCTCTGTACGATCAAATACCTATATAATACTCTTGGTACGCTAATAAATTATAGAATCTGTTGCACCGATCGGCGATGCGTGCGAATCCGGAAAAGACTTCACCGGATTTGCAGTCTCATAGAGACTTTTATTGCGGCAGGTGAATTCTCGAAAAATCATAAAGATGATTAAAAATTCGGTCGTTTTCACGGAAAATATTGTAATAAACTTTAACTGTGCGAACTGAATAATCAAATTTGGTTCGTGACGTTTCTGACGAATTCTCAACTTGCGTTGCTATATTTTCGCCAAATAATCGCGGTTAAATATACGGACATTATCCACTTTATCACTGCGAATCACATATACATTTTAATTGCAACATAATGCTGATTCCGCGATTATGTAAATAAAACAATATTCTGATGCGTGTTTCCGCATTAATGCAAATAATGGTTTAAATGCAATATTACACGTGCAATTTAGCAGATCGCACACGATGGGTAAATATAATATTTTCAGAGATGATAGATTCCGGTAAAATTAACACACAGTTAACGTTTGTTCGTGTTCAAAATTCTTTATGCGTAGTATAATAAGTATTTCACAATTTCTCGATACAAAAATGATAAGTATCGACATAGCCTATGCTAGCGGACGCAGCGAGGATTGTTCTCGCATGCACAAGTGACGCGAGTCCCGTGTGAAAGGAGCATATGGCGTTGTGTGTACGAGGACAGCTTGTCCTTCTTGCCTTCTTTAAGCTTTTCGATGCCACCTGTTACGTAAATGCGAATGAGTGAGAAAGAGGACTGAGCTTCCTGCGAGACGCAGCCGATTGATTCGTGCCGTAATAATCAAGGAGGACGAATCGCGTCCTTCTTGCAACGGGAGGTGGTCTTTCCATCTGACGGCCATTCAGCCGCTCGACAACAACCACGAATGCACTGCCATGCGCCGCGCCACGCCGTGTGGTTATAATAATTCCAGCTAGCGCGATGGCACTGATACCCTCGTGGTGCCGAGCTATCGAGTACCGTACACACGAGGTACCTTCCGCAAGTTATTGTTAGCCGGCAGTAGCTATACTGCGAGATATCAATTCATTTAAACGAGCTATCAATCCACCGCCGCAAACGGAGAGAATGAACAAAGTAACGAGAGATTTCAACGAGGCGGTGAATAACATGTTTTGAAAACGCCTCTTGACACAAGATAAATCAATTCGTGTTTTGCTAAATCTAAATTTCACGATTACAAATGATAAATTGTACTCTATAGTTGAGTTCCTTCATAGATAGACATTAGAAAGATTTAAAGTTTTCTTTTTAAGAAAATCTAAATTGCGATAGAGCTCCTATTAAATAATATATACCTATACGTATATTCTAGATCATAATATGAATCTTAAAAAAAAATACTCATCATAAATCAAGGAATGTTCGAAGCTAAATTCCGCGCTGTTTACAATTCAAAAGTATATTCTGTTTTTCTTTAGATAACGAGCAAGATGCCAAGTGACATCATCGAGATTACGTACATGTCGGAGAAGAAGCAGCGGTTAAATTAAGCTGTTCAAAATGACTCACCGTTGATATGCATTTGTGGCTCGGTGAGATGAATTCCAGGCCTCGCTGTCCCTCGCCGCTGAAACATCTCTGTATATTGCTCATGAACTTGCGGCGGATCGCCTTAAGCGAGTACACGCACAAAGCTGAGTGCGGTCGCGGCACGTCACTGTTGGGCCCGTCGCTCTCGGCGAATACAGCGAAGAGCACGTCGTCCTGAGCGGTGATGCCCAGGTCGCCAGCGAGTACCGAACCGGCCTTGCCGACGTAGGCGGCTTGCACCAGATTGTAGATACGCTCGTCGCTAGTGCAATTAATCGGTATCTCCGTGTAAGAATAATAATGCTCGTCATCCTGGCACACGCGGACCAATTTTGACAAATAGATCGGTGTCTCCGTATTCTTCATTTGTGTGGTGAGAAAATAACTAAACCCACCGCTGCTGAAGCCGTAGATGTAGTTAATAGGGTAACGTTCGCGCGATAGAGAGTTAACGTACATTCGCGTACCGGTCGTCACTGCTGCTTCTGCGATGTTCAACATCTTGTCCTTGTCGAGGGAACGTGAGCTCACCGCCGGCACTTCCGAGCGATAAGGTGAATTACCGGTGAAGGTCACTCCGACGTACATGACTTGGGAGACCGGTGGATTTGGCGGGCCAGGTGCGATGAACGCGACCGTTGACGCAGTGGCGTTGTTTGCTACCACCGCCTCCTTTACTTCCTGCACCACGTCCGATATGTTGTGCAGATTGCGCACTGTACACATGCCTTGGAATAGGCTGCCGCAGGAGATGAGCCGCGTAGTGGTGTAATCGATCACCAGGGCCTTGTTTACGTTGTCGACTGGCCGCTTTTGCGCCTCACGGGGGCAGTCTAGCATCGAGCACGCTGTGGAATCGCCCTTCGGTCCGGTGACCTCCTTTACGACCAGCAGCAGGTCCGGCGACAGCTGATAGAGACGATTAACTGCGCCTACGTACACCCGGCCCGTGTTCTTGTCCACTACCAGGTGGTTCATACGTTCCACTTCTGGATCGTGGAATTTCTGTACTATATCGGCCGGTAACGAACACGTTATCGGCAACGATAGCGATAGCGTGAGGATCAGGATCAACGGCAGCGACAGGTGACATCGTCGACTCGGTCGCGATATCACCGACCACGCCACCCTCATCGTCCCCGCCGTTGTTGCCGGGAAGACTGACAACATGCCTACTCTACTTCCACACTACGGACTCCGTCGCGCCTTCCTCCACCACCACCTCCTCCTCCACCTCCTCCTCCTCCTCCTCCTCTTCCGCGCTGTCCGGCGATTGTGGCGGAGGTGGTTACTTCCTTGAGCCTCTCCCAGGCCTGCACAAAAATGCACAAAATATTTGATTATTAACATGATAGTTAATACACGATAAAGCACAGTTGAAATGCTGAACAGTAAAGAAATATATTATAGGAAGCAACAAACTTTTCACATTTTAAAAATATACATTAAAGGAAAAATATTCTCCCTGTCATGCACACATATTTATATTAAGTACAAAAGAAAAAATCATTAAGGGGATATTTCATATATACTGCGAAATTCTTTCTCTGTTGATTATAATGAAAAATTAAATTTACGATATAAAAAAATATTATTTTAATACACATTATTAATTTTTAAATACATAATTGTTGCACATAATAATTTTATCTCCCTTGATATTCATCTTTTCTAATTAATGTCTCCTCTGAAAAATAATTATAAATTTCTTTCAATTTTAATTTATCTTTCCGCAGACGTCTGTTATTGTAACTACTGTTCGTAACATCGAGGAACGAGACATTATACGCAAGAGACAGTATTCACCATACATAATTGTAACGATTATCTTCTCAGACTCAAGGTGAGAGCACCTCTTGCACGCAACGTAATCTACTTTCGATCGAAGGGAAAGGTGCAATTAGTGCAACGACATGGAACAATTATTGCCGAGAACGCATGATAAAAATCAAGCATAATAATGCGCAACGTTGCAAACAGCGCTTTCAGAAGTTGTATTGAAAATATCTTCAAAAATATTAGGCACATGTTATTATTTAAGACCCAACTGAATAAAAAAACAGATAAAAATTTAGTGCTTTTTTATAGTATTTATAATTTGCTTAGCTATGTCAACTTAATGTATGTTTTATTTTATTATCATCTAAATATTTTTTAAAACAGATGTTTAAAAAGTCTGTTGGCACTTCTACATTTTTAAAAAAATTCATCTTTTGGAATGTCAATTTTATTGTGTTAAAATTGCTATCCGTTAATATCAGTATAATGTGATATAATCTACTAATTATTGTTTCTTATTATTTACTATTATTAATCAGTTTATTTACATCTTTAATAATAATTTAGAAACAATTCAAATTGCTTTATTATTGATTAATATCAGAGACAATCTATCCCAATTTTCGTTGAATTTGTAATTTAAATAAAATTACGCTGATGTGGAGTATCTAATCGCTTTTAAAAGTTAAGGATAGAGTAAGAAAATCAGAAAGCATCGAAGACACACAGAAACATATAATTCAACAAGATATCTAATGACATTAATATTTTACGCTATTATTCTAGTACACAGAGTAATTGCGGGATAATTTTTCTAAATAAAAAGTAGTACAACCAACTCTCTCTCTTGCTAATGACCGATTAGTAATAAATAGCACTGAAGAGACACATGTTGCTTTTTTACTTTCTGATCTTTATCAATGTGCTAATTATAAGCTTAAGTTGACACAACACCGATTTTAATCAAATCGGTTAAGAATAAAAGAATAAAAATCGCGAACAAACTAGTAATATAAAAAATCATTAAATTTATATCTACGTTATTTGATTGTGCAACAGTAATTGTATCAGCTTAACAGACGTTCTCAAATGTTTACATAAAAGGTAAAAAATAAATGATATTAAATAAAACTATAATAATTAAATGAAGCGATTTGATAAACGTATACAAACTAGCGTATCAACTTCAAAGGTAAAGATATCTAAATGACGTTTCGTTAATAGAAAGTAAGCATCTCTACGTGATTAGGGATCCCCTCCTTAGCGATTGCTCGGCAGTTCACGTTCTCACAGGATCCGAAGAAGGGAAAATACTTAGTAGGACGAAAATAACGAGATCTCGTGGCGGCAGTGAAACGGGAGCGAGAGGAATGTACGATTTATCGAGCAAAAGAAAACCAGGTGCTTTTGAAACGTGCTCTCGACGCATCTCGTCGGCCCTCTCTTAAGAAAATGACTTCGTGCAGCCGGCGAGCATTGGAAAAAGCGAAAGATGGTGAACGGGCGAACGAAAGAAAAAAAAGGAGGCAACGATCATCTCTCTTTCGTCTCTTATCGCAATGCAGAGGGTAACGGTCGATCGGGAACAAAAGTTTTCTTATTTCCTGAAGACCCATTTCCCCCACTTGTTCCTGGATTACTCCCCGCCAATTTTACTCGATGTCAACCTCGGTTTATAGCGCTCTACTCCTAAGAAGATTAGAAACATCTGCATAAAAATCGTAAACACTTTGCGTGATTTTTTAAAAATGCTTCAATCGCAAAAGATTTCAACTATTTATTTTGCTTAATATATATTTTTTATGTATGTAATTGATACATTCACATAATTTAATATCAATTACATATTTTAGAATAAAGTAATAAAAGAGGTAAAGCAATTTTATACAGAATTATACAAAAAAAAGAAATAAATTTAACAATGCTGTGTTCTAATTTTCTATGAGAAACTGTGAAAGTACAAAATATTGTTTATATTAGTCAGATAATTGAGAAATATTGAAAAAATCGAGTTATTAATTATTTCTATTAGTATCTTGAAATTATTTTCTTAGAATATCAATACTATAAAATAAAAAAGAAACTGTATAAAATTTATTTACTCATAATTTAAATAGATTATTGTTACATTTACTAACAAGCACTTTACAGCGTCCAGTTATGTTGTTTAGATAGAAGATAAAAAAGGTTATTTCAAAATGCAAAAAAATGTTCTACTTGTTTCTTCACGAAACTGTAACTTTGCACAACTTCATGAAGTAACGAATAACTTGACTACCGAAAGAATAATATTAGTTTCCTACTACTTTGCGTATTCGGAAAAGCTTGGAAGAAACGATGAATGCTATCGATTTGTTTATTATTCAACACAGCGTAGTTGCAGTCTTGTAGGCTATAGCAACTTCGATCCAACAGTACGCGTCATTAAATGACGAATCGGAGAGTCCAATATCGCATAAAAGCACTTGTTCCACGAAAAGAAAAAGATAAAGTTCGCGCGATTGTGTGAGCCATTTGCAGTGAGCAAGCAGTACAAGTAACGACTGCATATACAAAGAAAGTAGACCAAGTGACACGTGCACCGATAAGTATTGAATTGACTGCGAGCACGCGATTTCTCAGGAAAGAAACGATGCGAGAATGTGTCGAGGCAAAAAGCTGCTTAAGAACAGTTTTATAAAAAGTCTTTCGATTAATATTAGAAAATAATAAATATGTACAATATATATGCGCATGGATATAACATATATTATGAAACATATATGTATATGATACGCACATAAGCGAGAGAGAGAGAGAGAGAGAGAGAGAGAGAGGAGAGGATATGAGACATGATAGAAGGAGATGCGATAAGAACAGAATATAAAACAGGTCTACATAGAGGCAATAAAGTCAGTATAATAAGATTTGTATATGGCTGTGATAATATAGATAAGATATAGATAAAGTAAAAAAAATGACAGAAAAAAAACAAGATAAGATGCAGTGTTCTAACTTAATTAAGTATTTAAATAAAGTGAGTAAAGGTAAAGATACAGATAGATGAAGCGAGGTAAGATTATAGTTGTAAACCAAATCTCCTTCTTGGTTTATGTTGAAGAGAAATTCTAGTCTATACTATGTATGTACATACATATATGCCTATATATGTATTATACATATGTAATATGTATATATAGACACATTATATACATATATATTATGTGTCGATGTAATATTGCATTTCCAATGTCGATACGCATGTTAATTATAATTATCGTAGATGATAGACTAAGATAGCCTTCCGTATCTGATGAAGAGAACGCGTGCCTTTCTTCATGAATTCCCATTGTATTAGAGAAGAGCGACACGCACTTTGACGTCCGTAATTAACGATCTTAATTGCTCTCGGTAATTTGCACCGCGATTTCGCCAGAGCGATACACGACGGAGACACCTCTCGTTTCCGACAACGAGTTACGTTAGTCGAGAAAGTCAAACATGCGTGAAACTACGAGGTAATTAGCGTGCAGAAGCTCGAGGCGTTGCCAAACTCAAGTTTGTTGAAATGTTTAAATTCATCGAAGTATCGATATTTTCACTCAATCAGTGATGAAGATCATGCATCAACGTAATGTCATTATACAATATACTATATTATACAAAAAATAACTAAAATAGGAATATCACATGAAAAAGATTATAAATATAGCACAAATATCATATACACTAAAAATTAAAAAATATACAAAATTTGATAAAAATATTTAATACTTTAAAATAAATTATAGTAACAAAAGCATCCTTTAAAATTGCATCTTATAAAATTCATAATAAATTGATTCTTCAACTACCAATCTTTCATGCAGAAAGATTTATTTACAATGACCACCATATGGAATGTGCGTTGAAGATAAGATCGCCTATGCAGCTTAAGAGACAAATTGCCTTTTCAAGAAAAGGCCACGTAACGAATGTGATTGCTCGATAAACGTGCTTTAGAAGAAAGTGTAAGTATTGAAAAGGATGAAAAAGAATGAGTATGAGCATCGAAAGGGGAAGATTATGGGACTCGAGAAAAGTCGAAACATAGAGGAACGCTCTCCACGATGCTTTAAAAATCTTTCATTCCCTTAGCTTAAATTCCTCTCGATTCCTCATTAAGCAAACGATTGACGCAGCAGAAAACATGTCACGAAAACTTCTAGCATAATTGAAAAAATCCCACTGAAAAAAGTCCCACGTCGGAAAATTTTTTGAGAGTACCGAGTAGTTCTGAGTAGTGTTTCTTATAGTTCTCGACGAGTTCTATCGAAAACTGTCAGGTGAAAAAGCGATTGGACCAACGGTTTGTAAGATACAGCGACATTTGTTAAATTTGTAAGATCATACAATTTTTAAATAAGTATATCTCAGAAACCGTTGGTCCAATCGCTTTGAGCCCTGATACTTTTCGACAGAACTCGTCGAGAAATGTCCAGAACTCCGAACAGAACTACTCGGTACTCCCAAAAAATTTTTGATAAAAATGTTTTTTTATGTATCAAGAACTCTA